GGTTTAAGCTGGGTTTTAATCGCCTCCCAAGCCCTAGAATTTCGCGCCTTTCTACTTCGATTTGGCTTTCTTGGTACCTCCGTAATCCTTAAATCTCTCCCAATTTCTCTTTAGGGTTCTTCGCTGGTTGCTGCCGGAGTTTTCCTGGGTCCTTCTTCCTCGTTGATTCTGCTGCTCCGGGAGGGGGTTTTTAACAATGGGGAAGTCTTCTTCTCCGGTAAGCATTTCATTTCTATTTATCGGATTCGTTTTTTCTGGAACTTGAACGGAATCCATGTGTTTTTAGGGTTTTGCTGGGGAAGAGAATTAGTTTTCTACTGGAAAGAATTGATCTTTATTTATGTTCAATTCCCACTTCCTTTATTGGGCAAATTGGTTCTTTGTAATTCCTGGGTTCAATTTCTGTTTCTGTGTCGCTCAATGTCGATTCTGATGTTTTTCCTACTCTTATTGTTGTTAGGTACAGATATGAAAACTCCGTGTGAAATGAGTTAAACCAATTTTTGTTGTCAAAGGAATGCGCTTTTCGTTGTGTTGATTCAAGAAATGGTTCTACATGTTACGCTGTGTAAAGCTGTAAGAAGGGTTGAATATGACCAATGGAGGAGGGGAGGGTGGAAGTCAGCGAAGAGAATCACAACACGGGAAAAGAAATATTTTTCGTGGCAATGATTTTGAGTACGCCCTCGCTAGAATGGCAGTGGCGCAGATATGCGAGAGTGTTGAGATCAACACTTATCAGGAATCGCAGACACGAGAAGGTGTGAGATTTAGTTCTTTTCAAGAGTCGGCTCTTGAGACACTGACCGATGTAGTGATACAATATATACAGAGCATTGGGAAGACTGCGCAGTTTTATGCTAATGTGTCTGGTAGAGTAGAAGGTAATGCTCTGGACATTGTTCAAGCGCTAGAGGATTTGGGCTCTGGATTGGGTTTCGATGGTGCTCCTGATGTTGAACATTGTCTTGCTGATTCCGGTGTAGTCAAGGATATTATTCGTTATACTGGAGAAGCGGAGGAAATACCGTTTGTTTATTATGTTCCCCGTTTCCCTTTTAATAAAGGAAAAAGGCCAGCTCCTAGCTTCTTTGAGATTGGAGCAGAGCCACCAGATGAGCATATACCTGTTTGGCTTCCTGCATTTCCTGAAACCAAGATGTCTAACAGGTCGGAAGAGACCGATGTTGACAAAATAGAAGGGGATGTGCAAAGTAAAGAAAATGGACAGTCTTTTACAAGCATGCAGCAGTCTGTTGATGTTGATAGGTTAAAAGTTCAGAAATCCATGGATCAAAAGGATGTTCAGAAACCAACTGAGGAACCGGAAGGTAACCCATTTCTTGCTGCACCACTCTGGGTTGGTGAGAAGAACGTGTCACGTGTGTTTCGCCTGTCAGAGCTTACAAATGAAGAAGTTAGCATTAACTACGTTCCTGAGAAACATATGAGCAATAGCCATCACATTTCAGCACTTAAGGCACATGCCGTATCTGATAAGATCAACGACAAGAACACATCAGCTGAAACGGAAGATGGAGATAAAAAAGATGGTGTAAGAACCCAACGGGCTTTGCTTCGTTTCAAGATAGGCTCTCGAAAGGCCTCTATGTGTTGGACGATAAATCAGAGCTTAGAGGCAAAGGGTTGGTTTC